ATCAAAATTATATGATGGAAAGGTTCCTAAATCTAGTTAAGAAGGGTAACAATGCAGGTAAAAGAGTTTTATCCTATTAAGCATATATAGATAGATATATAATTAATTTTAGAAACTAATACGCTGCTTGCTTTTGCATTGAGAAGATAAGACAAGTTTAATGCAGCTACTTAAGGCCTATTCCAACTTACTTTAAATACACGATCACATCATTTATTTTGTCTAGATTTGACTTTGCACAATCATTTTTCTGTTACAGAACATGCTTAATATACGCTCAAAGTCTTGTGCAAATTAAATTTTAAAAAATCACAAAATGTGTTAGCACGATACAAAAAAAAGAAGTGTAGGGGCTAATAGTAAACATATAAATCACTTTAATTCTTTTCAATTTTTATGATTCCACATAATTTTTATTGCTCTTTCTCTTTATTCCAAATACGGAAATAATCAATTCAGATATGTGAATGTCAGAAGGATTTTGGCCGCTTTGAGGAGGGCAACAAAAGCGTAATGCCAATCTTTCCAGGAATCCGAGGCACAGAAATTCAGGTGATGTTAACTCACATCGAGACGATGTTTCAGAAGCTGATAGTCAATCTATATGAGAAAAAGAACAGCATCCTAGATGTAAAGGCCACTTCCTGGCATGATGAGTACAATCGATTTAGAAGTGGTATAAAGGATCTTGAAGTCATGATGCAAAACACTATTAACACGGCCTTTGACACTGTGACAACCATTCAACAGGGTGTCGAAGTCTTAGATGCATTCGCTCATCTTCAAAGTAGAGAGGTATGACGCTGGTAATCACCGACCTGAGTTTTTTGTCCTAAAATGAATTCATTTTTATTATGAGAAAATAGTTCCCTTATATCCCCTCGGTCTATATTTAAAATGTTTACTAGATTCCTCTTTAAACAATGCTCTAAACCCTGTAAAATTTAGAGCTGTTGAGATGTAAAGAATAGAATAGATCGAGTTAATAACACATACTACTTTTTGTCAAAACAGCAATCATTTCATGAACCTTAACTCTAAGGTTTTATTCCTTGACGATGTGGCACGAGCTCTTACAGGTTCGGCTCTGAAGCTACATATTTATATTCAATCAATGTGAAAAAACAGTCTAAAACCCGGATTTTACAACATTCCTTTTCTATTTATAAATTTTATTATTTAAGTTTCTTCTCTATATTGTTTATTGTCTTTATTTTCATTTAGACAGAAACTTTACTTATTTTTTTCATGTTCTTGGACCTTACTAAAAAAGCGCCATGATATCTCGTCAGCCTTGGTCAAAATCTTTCCATAAAATGACTTTTCTGGCTTTTAAAATTAGGCAATTCGTCGTACCATCGACAGCAAGACGCATATCGTGGTTAATATGTTCATCGAGGTTTTGAACCAGGTGAAGAAGGAAATGACGCAACGCATCAACACTGGAGTTCCGCAGCTCACAGAGTCAAAGTATTCAGGTCAAGCAATTTACTGGAGATTTTTGCGAAAACGAATGGAGCGTAGCATGATTGTAAGCAATTTCTAACGCCTTTT